ATTTCCAAATATTTGAGACTCTTTTTCAAATATCTTTTTGGTGTTTATTTCTACTTTAACTATATTCTATTACAAAAATATACTTAGTATGAGTTAAATTCTTTTATTTTTGATAAAGCCTTATTTTGAACCAAAATATAGTCTGTCTTACTTAATAGTCCATATGTACTTTTTTTTTCTTTTCTTTTTCTTTTTTTTTCTTTTATTTCAGCATATTATGGGTGTACAGATGTTTAGGTTACGTATGTTGCCCTTGGTCCCCCCCACCAAGTCCGAGTTTCAAATATGTCCATCCTTTGGGTGGTGCGCATTGCACTCCTTGTGTATACAAATACCCGTCCCCTCCTCCCTCCTCTCCCCTCCCCCTGCCCCTCTCCCCCCTCCGGCCCCTGTCCCGGACGGGCTGCCCTGCTCTGGACAAAATCCACCTCCCCACCCCACGACGCCTGCCCCGGTTTCAAATATGTCCATCCTTTGGGTGGTGCGCATTGCACTCCTTGTGTATACAAATACCCGTCCCCTCCTCCCTCCCTTCCCCTCCCCCTGCCCCTCTCCCTGTCCCGGCCCCTGTCCCGGACGGGCTGCCCTGCTCTGGACAAAATCCACCTCCCCACCCCACGACGCCTGCCCCGATCCTGAGGTCCAGGGCGGGGACCCCGCGCCGGCTGACGGTCCACGGCCCGCGGGCTCCGAGCACGGCCGAGGCGGGGACCCGGGCGGGACGCGGTGGGGATCCCCGCGGCAGGCGCCCGCACTCTCAGACCCTGGGCTGGCCCCGGCGACCCTGGCGTGTGCCGGCCGCCCTCCGCCGCGCTCGCCGCCCCCCACGGGCCGCAGACTCACCCGACGCGCGCCGCAGTCGGGGTCTCCGGGCTTCACCGCTGCGGGGTTCGCAGGAATCGCATGGGGCGGAGCGGGAGCCTCGGGAGCACGTGACCGAGGGGCGGGGCGGATCCGGGGCGGGATCAAGCCCGGGTGGGCGGGGCGGGGCCGAGCCGGAGCGGGAGTCGGAGCCGGAGGGGCCGCCGCCATGGGCCGCCTCGGGCCCGCCTGCTGCGCGCTGCTGCTCGCCCTGGGGCTCTGTCGGGCGCGGCCCCGGAACGTGCTGCTGATCCTCGGTGAGTGCAGCCCCCCGGGCACGCTGTCCCGCGGCCACTGCTGCTGTCCCCGGAGCGGCCGCTCGCCTCCCCCAGCCGCAGTGCCGACCCGGCTGCCCTGCCCCCGCGGCCCGCTGCGGTGCCTCGGGTCTCCCCCTGCTGTCCCGCACCTCCGTGTGTCCCTCCGAGCGGCCGGTCTGAGGGGTCGCCCGCATTCGGCGCCGCACTCCTACCCACCGTGTCCGGAGCCTGGGGCGGCTTCGCGGAGCTGCGGCACCGGTCCCAGAGGGGGCGCCAGGCGAGGGGCTGCTGCCCAGGACCCCAGAGACGCGGGCAGGGGACCCTCCGGCTCTCCCCGCCCACCCCCTGACCCCTATGTTTGCCCCAACCTTCTGAGACCTCAGAGCCTGGAGCTCAGCTCTCTTCTCCTGTCCCCCACTGCCCACCCAGCCTCTCTCCCAACCCCATCCCTCTCAGGAGCCCATGTTCCTCCAGCACGTGCTGTTCACAAGACTTCCTGTTTGGGTGCCAGGGCCAGTGACAAGTGATAAGTCCTCAGATTCTTTCCTCTTCTGAGGTCTGGCCCCCTGCCAGCCCGCTCTCTCTGATTCACTGTGGCCCCTGGGCTGGAGCGGCTCATGGTAACATAAACAGCTCTCCCGACAACTCACCTCCCGGGGCCACTCACCGAGGATCTGTTCGTGGATCCAGGTCCTGGCCCGCTCAGCACTGCTTCCTTTGGGATCCCCGGCGATCCAGTCCCGGGGTTAGGTCCTGTCTTAGCTCAGGTTGCCATAGCAAAGTACTACAAACAGGGCAGCTTAAACACAGCAGAAATTGATTTCTCCTGGCTCCGGAGGCTGGAGGTGCGAGGTCAGAGTGCCAGCCTGGTCCGGTTGTGACTAAGGCTCTCTGCCTGGCTTACAGGTGGCCGCCTTCTCACTGTTCCTCACATGGGCGGGGGTCTCTCTTCCTTTTCTTTAAGAGCCCGCAGTCCTATTAGATCAGGTTCCCCCTTATGACCTCATTTAACCTTAATTAAAGACTCTGTCAGCAGATACAGTCACATTGGGGTTAGGGCTTCAACGTAGAAATTTTGGGAAGACACAATTCAGTCCATAGCCAAGCGCAGAGACACTCTAAGTGGGTTTGGAGAAGGGCAGCTTCTGCTCCTGGCCCGCAGGCAGGATGCACTCCCAACGTCGCACCCTGGCACCCCACCGTCCCTCCGTCTGGCCGTTGGCTCACACCCAGTGGGTCCCACAGGGTGGAGGATGGCAGCCCAGCTGGAGGCCAGCCACAGCCACCCCTCTGTGCAAGGACCGCATCGCCTCTGAGGGAGCTGGGGAAGGTTTTGTCCTGGGGGTTCCCACCAGCTTCTTCCATCCAGGGTGCCCCTGGCGTGCTCTGCTCCACAGCAGAGGGAAGAAGCTTGCTCTGGCTGTAGGAGTTCAAGGCCTGTCTCTGCCGCCTGCTGCCCAGCTGTGTGGCCCGGGTGCCAACCTCACTTTTCTGGTTGCTTCGTGTAGGGTGAAGGGGTTGACAATCTGCAGGGTCACTGGGCCTTTGGGGCTGGGTGCTAAGCACCAGTGAGAGGTGGTGGTGGGATGTGCACACACAGATCTTCAGACGTGCCCTGGGCATGGCGCTCCCGGCCCCGCCTCTGCCACTTCCACAGAGCCCAGGATTGCCCAGAGTGTGCTGTGTCCGTGCGCTCAGCCACTGCCTGCTAACGTCCCTGCTCGGGTAGCATGTCCACCCGGTAACATGCCCATCCAGGTAGCGTGCCTGCTGGATGTCAAGGTTGTTGGGGTATCATGCCTGCTGGGTGCCATGCCTGCCCAGGTATCATACCCACCTGGTTACCATGCCAGCTGGGCATCATGCCCACCTGCTAACATGCCCTCTGGGTGTCATACCCACTCAGGTGTCGAGCCTGCTGGATACCAGAACCATGCTTTCTGGGTGCCATGCCCATCTGGGTATCTTGCGCTCCTGGCGTCACCAGCCTGAGCCTTTGCGGCGCAGCGCCAGGCCCCTTCACTCCCCTGTGCTGTCCCTCCTGACCCCAGCCCACCCTGTCCTCCCTGTCTCCCACCTTCCCCAGCGGATGATGGAGGCTTTGAGAGTGGCGCGTACAACAACAGCGCCATCTCCACCCCTCACCTGGATGCCTTGGCCCGCCGCAGCCTCATCTTCCGAAACGCCTTCACCTCCGTCAGCAGCTGCTCTCCCAGCCGTGCCAGCCTGCTCACCGGCCTGCCCCAGGTGGGTTGGCAGGGGGGCGGGAGGAGGGGATGGAGGGGAACGTGGGTTGCTTCTACCTTTGGTGGTTGTGAACAGCGCCGCTATGAACATGGGTGTGTGAAGGCGCTTCCCCTTGATGTGTGAGCCAATGATACTGCCCCACCGTGAGCAAGCGTGCCGTCCGCGAGGGGCTGCCACTGAGGGAAGGCTCAGAGGGGCAGATCGTGTGCAGACGCGCAGACGCCTCCTGGAAGGTTCGCCCAGGGACTGTGAGCCGCTGGCGTCTGGACATGGGCTGCAGCGGTCGGGGGGCCTTTCCTCACGTACGGCGGTCTGAGTTTTTAACACGCACGGTTTCTTTTACGACGTCAAGTAGCTAGGTAATAAAAAGACTGTATTTCTCTGGCTCTATTTCTGTCCACAACGTGTGATCACAGTGGAAAAGTTGGGAAGTGCAATGCACAAGAAAGCCAGAGCCACCCTGCGGCTGGCCCGCGTTCCTCCGCATCCTTCTCTTTCCCGCCCAGGTCCTCCTTTCACGGGAGGGACCTGTGGGCCTTCGGGCTAGGAGGGGAGGTGGAGAAAGTCTCCGTGGCGGGGCCGTGGGAGGGCGAAGTCGGGAACCCGGGAGGGCTGCGGCCGGGCCTCACACGTCTTTGCCGCAGCACCAGAACGGGATGTACGGGCTGCACCAGGGCGTGCACCACTTCAGCTCCTTCGACACGGTGCGGAGCCTGCCGCGGCTGCTCAGTCAAGCCGGCGTGCGCACAGGTAAGGCGCCTCGAGCCAAGTGCAGGGTGAGACGAGGGATTGACGCCAGGGCCTGGGAGGCCGGGTGCCTTGTCCCAAGCCGTCCTCAGCCCACAAATTGCCCACCCGGAGCACTCGTCCCGAAGGACTGGGCCTGGGCTTCCTGGCCGGGCTGTGGGCCCAGGGGAGCCCAGGGCCTGGGCGCTTGGGGATGGAGAAGGGAACAGAGGGAGTGGGAGGCCGAGGGGCTCTGGACAGGCGTGTACCCCACCCAGGCATCATCGGCAAGAAACACGTGGGGCCGGAGGCAGTGTACCCGTTTGACTTCGCCTACACGGAGGAGAACGACTCTGTCCTCCAGGTGGGGCGGAACATCACTCGCATTAAGCTGCTAGTCCGGAAGTTCCTGCAGACCCAGGACAACAGGTATGCGGCGGGGCACCTGCCCCTGCCCCTCACTCACACGGCCAGACCTCCCTGTCGTTAGCCCGAGGTGTGTGTCCCAGAGTCTTCACTTGGGATTCGTGGTGGGGGAGACAGACAGGATGGAAGAGAAGGTTCCAGATATGCAAGGAAGAAGGGATATGGGGAAACAGGCGGTGAGGGTCACAGGGAGACTTTCAGATATAGGCAAGTGAGCAAAGCTGGGAGGGGTGTCTCTGCCTAGAGCCAGGGCTTCCCAGGTAGAGAGTCAAGGTACTGCCCAGGTGTGTGTTGGCCCCTTGACGTGACACGAAGCCCCTCTCCCCATGTGCAGGCCCTTCTTCCTCTACGTTGCCTTCCACGACCCCCACCGCTGCGGGCACTCCCAGCCCCAGTTCGGAGCCTTCTGTGAGAAGTTTGGCAATGGGGAGAGTGGCATGGGGCGCATCCCAGACTGGACCCCCCAGACCCACAGCCCCCAGGACGTGCTGGTAGGAGGGCCCTCACTGTGTTTCCCAGGTGCCCACCAGCCCTAAGTCCAGGCACCCCCGCCCCGGGGGCTTGCAGCCCTCGCCCAAGGGGTGGGAGGTTAGCATGCAAGGAGAGACCCTCTGGCTGAATTGGGCCCAGGCCCCCATCTGCAGGGCCACAGACCACCCCAGAGGTATGGGGTGATGCTGCCAACAGGAGTTGTTCTAGGCTGGCCATTCGCAGGAAGAAGGTTCCGGGCCCTGGGGAGAAGGCCAGCATCTCTTCCCCCTCCCCCATCTACCTATTCCAAGCGTGGCTCTGCCTCCCAGGTGCCTTACTTCGTCCCTGACACCCCAGCGGCCCGAGCTGATCTGGCAGCTCAGTACACCACTATCGGCCGGATGGACCAAGGTGGGCTCACGGGCTGGGCAGTGGGGTGTGCCAAGGCTTGTGTCCCCCGTCCTGGGCCGGGCGCCTCTCAGCCGGTCAGGCTCAGCCCGGGGAGGTGGGGGGGTCCCACTAGCAGCACAGTCTGATCAGGTCTCGCTGTGGAAGGCCCGGGGCTGGACTGGGCAGAGACCACATTCAGAGAAGGAGCCAGGCGTGGGTGTGGGCTGGACTCAGGCAGCCCCGTCCTGGGCGTGGTGTCAGGACCCACTCCTGGGCTTCCCTGACGCAGAACTGCTCCTGGGTTAGCTTCCTTGGGGGCCCACAGGTTGGGCAAACACTCCAAATGCTTTTCCAACAATGGGATCTGGATCAGATTTGGGGCTTTGGAATTCCCTATGTTATGCAATATAGAACTTGGCGGGGCTTGTTAGTGTTTTGTAGCTGCTGTAACAGAGAACCATAAACTGGGTGGCTTAAAACTACAGAAATTTGGGCCAGGTGCATTGGCTCACACCTGTAATCCTAGCTCTCTGGGAGGCTGAGGCAGGAGGATCACTTGAGCCCAGGAGATAGAGGTTGCAGTCAGCTGTGATGACATCACTGCACTCTACCCTGGGGGACAGAGTGAGACTCTGTCTTAAAAAAAGAAAAAAACTACAGAAATTTGTTCACTCACCATTCTGGCGGCTGGAAGCCTAGAATCAAGGTGTCAGCAGGGCTGTCCCCGTGAAGGCCTAGGGGAGGGTCCCACCTTCCCTCTTCTAGCTTCTGGGTGGGTGCTAGGCAAGGGGCCCAGCTGGTGGGAGGAACTGCAGGGTGTTGCAGGGTCCAGCAGCTGCATGAAGAGGTGTGAGTCTGCGCACGTTCCTGCGCCCCCGCCATCGTGTCCGTGGCTGAGCCCTGCTCCCCCTCCCCCACCCCCGCCTGCAGGGGTCGGACTTGTGCTCCAGGAGCTGCGCGGAGCGGGCGTCCTGAACGACACCCTGGTGATCTTCACGTCTGACAACGGAATCCCCTTCCCCAGCGGCAGGACCAACCTGTACTGGCCGGGTACTGCAGAACCTTTGCTGGTGTCATCCCCGGAGCACCCGAAACGCTGGGGCCAGGTCAGCGAGGCCTACGTGAGCCTCCTAGGTACGGCTCTGTCTGTCTCATGCAGGGGAGGGGGCGGAAGTGAACCTTTGACGGGGCCTCCTCGCAGCAGACGTTGTTCTGCACCCCTTACCGAATGTGGTTCTCGCACCACCTGGGTGAGGACGGGACAGACACTCCCATCCTACAGGTGGAAAGGATGAGGTTCAGAGGTAAAATAAGCTGCCCAGGGTCACACAGGTGTCAGCAGCACCAGCTAGGATTCTAGCCTGGGTCTCACGGTCTCACGGCTCTCCAAACCGTGGCCTTTTCCAGTAGACCACACGTGAGTACCAGGGTCCCCTGGAATGCTTATTAGTACCCACATGGCACCCCCAGAGCGAGTCTGTGGGCCTGGGGTAGGGCTCGAGAATTTGCATGTCCCACTAGTTCCTGGGTGACAGGATACTGTGGCCCAGGGACCCTCTCTGAGAATCGCTGCTCCCTGTCGCACCTGCCTGGGGACCTGGGGACCTTGTGACCCTGCTCTTGTCCGCAGAGGCCTGGGGACGTCCAGTCTCCCATTAGAGACAAACCTGCAGGTGCAGGAAGACTGTGAGGGGCCCGGGGTGAGCCCCTTGGCCCAGGGCGGAAGCCACCACCCCTGCCCACTGCCCGGCAGGGCCACCAGGCAGGGCGGGCTCAGGGCAGTAGTGCACTCTGGTCCCTGCAGCTCAGGGCCCACATTTCTCTCTTTGGCCCCAAACCGTGAGTCGGGAGTGCTGTGGCCACACCACGGAGCAGGAATAGACAAGGCCTCCCTACACAGGGCACTTCCTTTCTGGTCTGTGGGGTTGTAGAAAGGTCCTACATGTCACCAGGTCGGGGCCTCTTGCTATACCTTTAAGGGCATCGCGGCCCAGAGAGACAGTGTAACCGTGGGAGGTGCCGAAGCTGCACCTCCCCGTTGGGGATTTGACCTCACAAGGTGGCCACCAGCTTCCTGGAGTGGCTTAGGCTCCTGGGCCCTGGGGCCGCTGCGCTGAGCCTTCGCTTGCTCTGCAGACCTCGCGCCCACCGTCTTGGATTGGTTCTCCATCCCCTACCCCAGCTACGCCATCTTTGGCTCGAAGACCGTCCGGCTTACTGGCCGGTCCCTCCTGCCAGCACTGGAGGTCGAGCCCCTTTGGACCACCGTCTTCGGCAGCCAGAGCCACCACGAGGTCACCATGTCCTACCCCATGCGCTCCGTGTACCACCGGAACTTCCGCCTCGTGCACAACCTCAGCTTCCGGATGCCCTTCCCCATCGACCAGGACTTCTACGTCTCGCCGACCTTCCAGGACCTCCTGAACCGCACCACGGCCGGGCAGCCCACGCGCTGGTACAAGGACCTGCACCACTACTACTACCGGGCGCGCTGGGAGCTCTATGACCAGAGCCGGGACCCCCACGAGACCCAGAACCTGGCTGGCGACCCGCGCTTCGCCCAGGTGCTCAAAACGCTGCAGGCCCAGCTGGCCAAGTGGCAGTGGGAGACCCAGGACCCTTGGGTGTGCGCCCCTGACGGCGTCCTGGAGGAGAAGCTCTCCCCCCAGTGCCGGCCCCTCCACAACGAGCTGTGACAGTCCCTGGAGGCACCTACCCTCCCTGTCCCAGACGTGTTCCTGCCGCTGGCCAGCTGGTCTTCTCAACTGGTGGTGGTGACGCGGGCCCTTCCGAGATGCTGGTGTCATTCCTGGCCCTGCCTGGAGGGGAGACCGGGCGTGTGCCCCAGCCCTTCCCCCCAGGAGTGAGGCCACCACAGTAGGGGACACCACTGTCCTGTGTCTGAGCTGTGTCCTGGCATAGGAATTCTAGGGGGGCCCTGGGGACAGAGTGGGCCACGATGAAGGAGTCTGTTTTCTGGGTTGGTTTGGGGACCTGCAGGTGGAGGGACTTGAAACCCTCTTTGGAGGTCTTTGGAGCCCTTCCCCCGTAAGGAGGTGGGGGCTTCTGTGCCACAAGGGTGTGGGTGGCCGGTGGGTCCAAACCACACTCCACGTGGCAACGTGGCATCTGGCTCTTACCAAGCTGTGGTCTAGAGGAAGCCTTTGAGCAACCTGGGGCTGGTTTCTGCTTCTGTTGTTTTGCCCCAGGGTCAAGTATGGCCCAGGAGGGCATCTGTTGACCGGCTGCTCCCTGCGTGCCCAGCGTGAGCCTGTGGTCTTTCTGGGCAAACTTGTCCTTTCCGAGTGTGTCCAAAGACGAAGTCGTGCAGTGCCCCGTCCTCTGGCTTGGGTTGGTTCTCCTTGGATGGTACCAGCATTGCATGGAGAATGTTCCGGACCTGCCCTACCTCCACTCTCCACGGGAGCAGCAGCTTGGTCTGGGAAACCCGGCAGGCGGGGGCTCCCCTCCCCTCCCCCACCATCAACTCTGTACCGAGGGTGGGGAGAAAGCCACAGAGTATTGTAAAAGCTTTTTGTTTAGTAAAATATACAGAAGTTCATTTTCTGAACAGTTTATGGTAATACCCACCCGAATCCTAGAACAATGTCCTGATTCCGGGACCCAGCTGTCAAAATGACATTCAGTTTGGGACAGTTCTGGGGGCAGGAGGCAAGGCCAGGACATGCAGGGACCTGCCCGGGCAGTGCCTATGTGGCTCCCAAGCCCTGAAGGTGGAGGGAAGATGCTTGGCCCCAGGAAGGGGTTGGGGCATGATGCCAGGTTGGGGGGAGGCAGCTCTCGGGCTCAGGAAGAGGCCTGGGCCTGTCCAGAGGGGTCTGCACCAGGCTTCTCCAGTACACCCCCAGGACCCTGGGCTGGACGCAGAGGCCACCAGGCACAGACCCACTGAAAAAACTTTCCGCCACCCGGAAGCTTTATTTGCAGGTAAACATGCTGGTCTCTGAACCAGAGTTACGGAGGCATCCCTATGCATCGGAACCCGAGAAGAGTGAGGGGGGGCTACGGCACACGGGGTTTGTGCCTCCACTCTGGGCAGGGCGGCAGCGACCCTGCGGGGTGACAGGCTCCCACCCTGCTGCCTCGTGGGTTTGGAATGAGCCCTTGGACACACAGCAATGTGCAAGTGCAGCCGCCTGTGTTCAGACTGGCAGTCTGCAGACAGGTGGTTTCCTGGAGCCGTCGAGGGCCTCCAGTTCTGGGGAGGGTGTGGGAAGACCCCCACCCACTGCAGAAACGTTCTGGGAGTCTCTGGTTCACACCATGCCAAACCCTGGGGAAGGGTAGAGATGGTTTCCACAGAAAGGTGAGCCCACTGTTTACAACCTGCACATGGTGAGGGTTCCAGGCTAGACCCTGGCCAGAAAGGGGAGAGCTGGCTCGCGTGCTGGGCACCCCATAGCTGTGCCCGAGAGGCCCTGAGCTCAAAGAACAGGGCTGCGTTAACAGGTGCGCGAAGGTCCCCATAGCCCCGGGAGGGGATACAGGGTGTCAGGGGGGGTATGCTCTGCCCACACCACCTTCTTCTGCTCATCCGCAATGGCCAGGCGGACACAGCCGAGCAGGCTGTCCAGGTCGCTCCAGCTGTCGGGAGCCAGGCTGCTGTACAGACAGGGCGCTCTGTCCAGCGCCGCCTCCTCCTGCCGGGCCGCCTCCAGGAGCTGCTCCTCCGCGGCGCCCAGCCGCTGCAGGCCCTTCCTGCGAGGGCTGGAGATGGTGGGGGAGGCTCAGGGGAACAGTGACACAGAACCTGCCCCAATGCCCCGACCTTGTAAAGCAGACAGGACCTGGGCCCCGAGTGACATTGCACAGGTGGGGCAGGTTGTCTGGAATACAGCCTCAGTTCTCGGAGTGTAAAGGGGTCTGTCTCCTGCCAGAGACCAAGTGATGGTTTCCAACAGTTTGGGTCCTCGCCCGACACAGGCTGGATCGCATCAACTGCACAAGCCCCAGTAGGTGCGCAGCCTCAGTGGGGCTGACGCAGGTTGCAGGTCCCGCTTGCCCCCCTGCAGGGCGAGGGCAACTGGACAGTGTTTGGAAACTGCCCGTCCACACTCCCTGTTCCCAGAAGCCTGCAGGGTGCCCAGAGGCCCACGCCCTGGGCTCTGGGGAGCTCAGGCCTGTGCAGACCCCTGCCCGGGCCCAGCCTGCACCTACTTGAGTTTCTTTGCCGCCTTCTCGTTGACAGAGACGTGGACGACGATGGGGAAGATCTCCATCCTCTGCAGGGCACGGACGCTGTCCAGCCGGAGGTCCAGGAGGGCGTGGGTGTTCTTGGGGAGGGGAGAAGTGAGTCAGGACCAGCGGCCTCGGAGGAAGCAAAAGGAGCCCCACCTGGGGCTAGAGTGTCCCTGGGGTGGGCAGAGAGGAGGACGGCCGGGCAGGACTGGGTCTTCAAGAGACGGGGAGGTGGGTTTGCCGCTTCCTACGTGGGGGTGCTGGCTGCAAGGTCCTAAGAGTTCCCAGCCATTAGATTTTCACCTGGAAAATCTAGAAGTTGCCGCTGCTGAATTGACGCAGCCTTTGCCTGGAGCCCCCTCGATCTCTGTGGGGGGCAGGCTGGATGGGGCTGGCACAGCCCGCGTGGGTGGGAAGCTCTCCAGTGCCCAGCGGGCGCCTCCAGACATGGAGAGTGGGACATCTGCATTTTATTCACTCACTGCCAAATACCTATTAAACGTCTCCTGCTTGAGGAAGCTGCGGCTTAAGGAGTTTGAAGACTCGCCCAAGATCACGTGGATCGTGACTGGCTCAGGCAAGGTGTGGACCCCGCTGAGCACCAGGCTGGGAGTCCGTCCCTCAGGCCTCGTTCTTCCTCATCACCCTTCCCCGTCAGCCTCCTATGCACAGGGGTGTCCCTGAATCCTCCCTCGGCCTACGGCAGGAGCGGCTACCCCCAGGCCCAGCCCTTCACCTTTTCCATGAGGGACTCTATGGCGCGGCGGGTCACCCAGCAGTGGCCATGGGACATTTCCCCCTCCTGGACGATGTCCCCTCTCTGGCTCCAGGCGTCATACTCCTCTTGGCTCAAGTATTCTGGAGGTGACATCGGATGGGGGGGGTCACACACCCAGCTGCATGGGGTTCCTGAGGGGGCTCCATGCTGAGCACCCCACCTCATGAGCCCCCCAGCTCTGGGAGAAGCTCTTCCGAGGGCGTCTACTTTATAACCCTGACCCTGCTCTTCCCATTTGGAGAGTTCTGTGCCCTGCATATCCACGTGGAACCATTCGGACATGGCAGGCACTCGGTCAGTATCAGGGTATGGATGGGGGAGTGAGGGGGAAGGATGGACAGATGGACAGATGGATGTGCATAAGCAACCCCCTCCCCCCACTTCCCCAAGCTCCAAACTTGCATGTCTGACATCTTACACCTAGAAATCTCATGATCCCTTAAGTCACTGTTTTTTGTCCAGGAGCAGTTTTGCCCTCCAGGGGATACTTGGCAACATCTGAGCCATTTTCAGTTGTCACAACCTAGGGGTGCTATGACATCTAGTCGATTGAGGCCAGGACCCCCAACACCCTGTAGTGTTCAGGACAGCCCCTACAACAGAGTGACCCGCCCCGGGTCTGTCAGTGCTAGAGTTGAGAGCCTTGCTCTGAGTAAACCTGTTGAAGCCCCCACCCAGCTTTTCTTTCTTCCTGAACATCTTCCCCTGGTGCTGACCGGTCGGGCCAGTCAGAACTGCACGCGTCTCCTGGCCTCCTGGCCTGCTTCCTGCTCCCGAGATGGTCCTGTGACTCCAGCCCGCACGTGGCGGGGTTTGCGCTGTTCTCCCTGTTGCTGCTCTGCCAGGGCCCAGTGACGAGGCACATCTCCCAGCCTCCTGCTAAGCCCTTCTCTGATCCATCTTCCATTCTGCTTTCAGGACGGGTGTTCAAAGATCGAGCCTGACTGTGTCTTCTCCTGGCTCTGAAAACCTCGCCGACTCTCCCTTGTGCGTCATATGCAAGCACACGTCCAGCCCACCACCTCCCCAGCCTCGCACGGACCCGTGCAGTGGGCCCCTTCCTGCTGCCTGTGCCTATGCCGTCAGCCCTGCCTCGCTCTGTTCACAAACTCCCCCCAGGTCCCGGCTCCCCCCAGGCCAAGGAATCCGCCACTTCCTCTCAGGGCTGTACGCACTTCCATGTTGGCCCATCCCACCGGCCTGCCTGTCCCAGGTGTCTGTCCCTGCAGCAGAATAGACCGTTGAGGGCCCCTCAGCATCTCTAGCTCCCACATGGAGCCTGGCACACAGTAGGTGCTTACTAGAGAAGCCACACAGACTGCACCTGCTTCCTTATCTCCTCTGTGAACTTCAAGAGAGTAGCACAGGGCTCGTCACCCCCAGCTTGTGACCCAGCACCACTCGGCCAGCAGGGAGCTGCCTTGTCTGCTGAGCGGGGCGCTAGCCTGCCTCCTGGGGGTCCAGGACACCGACTGAGCGGCTTTTAGCAGGGGGATGGCGCCCTTCAGCCGCATCACCCGTAGGTAGGAGCCTGCCTGCCAGCAGAACCGTGCTGGGTGGAACGGTGTCCACGCAGAGCCTCAGAACGGGACCTTGTTTGGACATATGGTCCTTGCAGGTATAATTAGTTAAGATGAGGTCACACTGGATTAGGGTGGCCCTAAATGCAGTGTCTGGTGTCCTCGAGAGAAGGCAGAGAGAGATGCACAGAAAGGAAAAGGCCAGGACCACAGAGGCTGAGGCCAGAGGAACACCAAGGGTGGCCGCGGCCACCAGGAGCTGCAAGAGGTGGGGTGGGACCCTCCCCTGGAGCCGGCACCTTGGTCACGGATTTCTGCCCTCCAGCCCTGAGAGGACGACCCTGCTATTTTGACCCTCCCAGTTTGTGGTGATTTGTTGTGGGCTCCTCGGAGACTCCTACAGTAACCTTCCCACTGCTCTCCCAGCTCTGCCAGAGCCTTGCCTCCCAGTGGCCAGGCGGGACCCCTGGGGGCGTACCTGCTGTGCACTTCTTAAACCCTTGGAGGAGGCTCAGCTTCTCGCTCAGCATCCTCCCAACCACTCTGGGCACGAAGAGCACAGGCCGGGGCCGCGCAGGCCTGTGGGGCTGCACCAGGCTGTAGGGCACCAGCGTGACGCAGCTCTCGGCCCAGAAGCACACGGCGTTGGTGTCTGTGGAGGAGAGGGAGGAGAGGCGCTGTGAGCGGCTGGCCCAGGCCCCACCGCCCCCGGGAGGGGCCACCCTGCTCTGCTCCCTGCGGCAGGCCCACCCAGCACCTAGGCTGACCCACGGCGCACGCCTGGCTGTGACACCATTAACTACGTGTTCCGCAGCCGCTGGCCAAGCGGTTCCTTTGCACCTGTAGATGAAACAACTTCGCAGGCGGCAATTCTGTCCCCCAAGCAGGAGGGAGGAAGCCAGGGTTTCTTCCTTCCTCCACCCTCCTCCTCAGCCAGTCCCCCCAGGGCACAGGTCCCAACCGTGCCTCTGGCCATTGTCAATAGCCACTTTATACACTCAGAAAACTTTTCTAGAAGAAGACAAACTGAGAATGATTCGCTCACTCCGCATCCACCTCTGCTCGTCCTCAGCGTACAGTGCTACCTGTTGGGGGGTGGCCGTTCCCACCTCTACCGTGACCTCCCGCACACGCTGTCACTCAGAGGCCGTCCGGGGATCCACTGGTTTGTATAATGTTGGGCATTTGGGTAGTTGTCAAGATTTTACTATTCCAAAAAGACTGCTGTCAACACAATCGTACCAGTGGCTTCTGGACTACTTTTTGGGGCAGATAACAGAAGTGGGAGCATCGGTTTACAGGACATCAAAGATGTGTAGCTCAAGTGCTCTCCAGAAGGACACAGACACCAGTCGTGGTTCTTAAAAACAGAACCTGGCTGAAATGAGTGGCATCCGCCAGCTAAGCTGACCAACAGCAGCCCCTCGCCCGCTCACCCAGCCTTACCTTCCACCCTGCTGGGGGCCGACTGGCCCCTGTCAAAGGATGAATGCAGAGGGCTGGCCTGGGCCTTGTCCATGCTGACGATGCGGACCAGCTTCTGGGGTCCCCCAGAAGATTGCTGGGGACAGGAGGAGCAAGGAGGAGTTGAAGCCATCAACATGGGGTCTGGGGCCCAGCACCCCCACCCTGCCCTGGTGCCCCACACATGAGCAAATCCAGTGCGGTCCCTGGACCGTCAGACTGTGCCCTCGAGCAGCCAGGGTGCCCAGGGGTAGGAGGCAGGAGAGGGTCCCCACACAGGCAGCCCCCAAGCAGGGCTCTGCAGTGGGGGGCAGGGGTCCCCCCGAGCCTCGCCCTGCTGTGATCCAGGGGAGACCTGTCCCAGCAGGTTGCTCGGGGACCTGAAAAGTGTTCTGTGTCTGGAGAACACAAGGGGGCCCAACCCAGAAGAATGGCAATCTGGGGAGATGAGCTGCAGCAGGTGGCCTGGGCGTGGGTCAGAGAGGAGCAGTACGCCCGAGAGCCCGCAGGAAGGTTTGGAGGGGCCCCAGGGGAGTTGGGCAGCCCAGCCCCCTGGGATCAGCAGCCCACGCTCTCCACACGCCACCCCCCGCCAGCACCCACCCTCTTCCAGCCCACCCCAGGTGGGGCTGACCTTGCGGGTGGCGGTGCGCTGCTGGGTCATGTCCTGGATGAGCGCGATGAGCCGCTGCTGAGCCCTGCACAGACGGGAGGGGCCCTGACACAGCTGCCAGAGCTGCCTCCTGCCCAGGGCCGCAGACGCCCCCAGGGCTCTAAAGACTCCAAAGCCTCAGCCCACCCTGGAGATGCTGGGTCCATTGCCCCAGGGTGGGACCCAGGGGACACTAACGAGCAGCAGGGGTGGAGGACGCTCCAGTGCTGCACTAGAACCTTCTGTGCACCGTGGGTCCGTACACGTGAACCTTAGAGGTCCCCGTAGGTTGGTCTAGAACAATGGTTTTCAACGGGGAGGCGGCACTGCCGCTCCCCAGGGAGGGTGGCCAACTGTCCCAGTTTGCCCAGGACTGAGGGGTTTCCCTGGATAGGGGCTTTCAGTGCGAAAACTGAGTCCTGGGCAAACCGGCATGATTGGCCCCAACCCCAAGGGACACTTGGTGATGAGGGGAGACAGTTTTGGTTGTCACAGCTGGGGGCTGGGAGTGCTCCCGGCACCTGTGGGTGGGGAGGCAAGGGATTCCACAGAGCCCAGGACAGGCCCCGCCACAAAGGATGATTCGACCCCAGGCGTCAGTAGCACCAAGACCAAGAAACCCTGGTCTGGAGTGTGCTGCAGTGACCTGAGGTCCACCCATGTTCCAGACACACAGCACCTCTCACAAGGAAACTGTCCTCAGCAGCGATCTTGGGGAACCCTTCTCGGGCGTCTCATCACCCCCAACCTCTATTCCTGGGCAGTGGGCTCTCTGTCGGGGAGGGAATCCTCCGCAAGGCCACTGCTTCCTCCTGGGCAGAAGGGGGCGCTCCATGCCAAGCCAGGCCAGGCGGTGCCACCCCGTGGGCCTCTCTGGGGACATGCCAAGGCACGACCGCTGCTCACCGTGAGTAGTTGGGGATGGTGCCGTGCACCGTGGTGTCCTTCATGGTGTAGGGGCTCACGCGGTGGGCGTGCCAGCAGCTGCCGCCCTGGAACATGGTGTCGGTGACGTGCAGGACGTCGTTGCAACGCACCTGCAGCTCTCCCTCCGCCCTCCCCTCCATGGCCAGGTTGACCCGGATGTAGAATGAGTCCCCTGAGGTCACCACTTTGGCCTCCAGGTCCTGGACCAGCCTCTTGTAACCTGATAAAGGGACAAGGGACACGATCACCAGATAAACTGGGGCTGTGAGCACACAGAGGAAGGTTCTAGAACATGAACGTGGGAGAGAAAAAAGGACTCTCCCCCCATCTCAGAGGTCACCCTGGTACTGGAGTCAGTGGGTGGCAGGTTTCCAGCTGCCTTGGGGGCCCCCAGGGACTTGGGGTGCAGCCTGGCTGAGGTGCAGCGGGGGGGACCCAGGGTGACGGAGATGGGGCTGTGTCTGTACCCTCCATGTTGACCTTCACGGACAGGCAGCAGAAGCCGTCCACCCTCCTGAGAATCCCGACAGCCTGCTCCAGGGTGGTGTCCTCCAGGACGGCCTTGAACAGGGGCTCCGTGGCCTCGTAGTCAACCTGAGGGTGGGCCGAGGGTCAGCCTCTTTCAACCAGGGCTCTGTATACAGGAGTGCTAGGGGTGCTGGGGGGTGCACGGCACCTACGGGACCGACTGGCCCTCCCCAGCCACCCGCACGCCTTGGCCACCCTCAGACCGGTCATCTAGATGGCAGTGCGGTAGCCTCTGGCTTCAGGGCATGCATGCCACCCACACCCCCAGTCCGAGAGTCAACCCCCAACCCTTCCCCAGCCCTTCCACTGCTCAGGACAGAGTTTCTTTGTGACGGGCAGTTTCCTCTCTTGAAAAAAAAGGACCTCCATTCTAGAACATTCTAGAGCATTCTAGCTCAGGATTTCTCAGCCTTGGGATTACTAACATCTGGGGCCAGGTTGTTCTGTGTTGCGGGGGCTGTCCTGAGGTCTGGAGGGTACCTGACAGCACCCTGGTCTCCACCCACCGGGAGCCGTGGCACCCGCCCCAGCCCTTCCCCCTCTCTGCAGGCTCCACCCTACAGGCTTCCGCTGTCCACGTGGTCCCTCCCTGTGTCGTTCTAAATGTAGGACGGTAGACATTTTCACAATGAGACCAAAGTCAAGATGTATCTGAAGGCCATTAGAATGGAACTGGGCCCTTAGGAGATCAGCACTGTCTCCCGGAGCGGCATAAAGAAACTGCTGCTTTGACCACCACGGGAGTTGTTAATGGGGAACCTTGAGAGGTTGGCTGGAAACGTAATGAGGGGCTTTTGGGGCCGTTTAGAGCAGAGAATACGGGATGACACTTATATTCGGAGCTCACCGTGCCAATTGTTCAAGCCCTAGGAGAGCTTGCGCGTGGACAGCCTGCTCCGACAGGGAAGCCGGAGGGGTTCACCAGCTGCTCCCACCCAAGGGCTCAGCCCCACCCTCCCTCACCGTCCTCTGCACCCCCAATGCCACCCCCATTCCAAGTCCCTCCCGGGGCAACAGGTGAGCCTCTAATTTAGGGTGAAGTGTGTCGTGCACATTTCTTGGTTTTTTTTCTTTGTATTAAGAAAGCACTGTGGTTTCTTTTCTCTTTCTTTTCTTAGAGAGGAGGTCTTGCCGTCTGCCCAGGCTGGGGCGCAGAGGAGTTCACAGGCACCACCACAGCCCACTGCAGCCTCGGACTCCCCCCCCAGCCTCGAGCCGTCCTCCCGCCTCCGCCTCTGGGAGCTGGGACTACCGGCACCGCCCTGCTCAGCAGTATTGTTAAAAAGCATGAAGTTTAATATTAACAATTCTGCTTTTAGGCCACATCAAAGTCACCCCCCGCCCACATATTCACTTAGTGACAATTAGGGTGCACGCTCACGTACATTTGTCTTCTCAGCAGTTTCGTGCATTTTACAACAAAAAAAGGTTTAGGAAATGCCCCCAAGGGTTAGAATAGTGAATTTTATATCATGTGTATTTTACCGCATAGCCCCCCAAAGTGATAATAAGATTATCACGGTAAAGAAAAAAAGCCCCCCACATAAGACAGCCCTGTCAGGGCCTCGTCCACCCTCCTGGGAGGTGTGTCCTCTGCCCCGCGGCCCTGCCAGCTTCCAAGCTCCCGGGCTGCAGAAGGCCGGGCCTGGGCAGGTGGCCAGGTCCCCCCTGACGTGGCCGCCTCCCATAAATGAGCGGGAAGAGCACGGGCTGGGCCCAGAGCAGCTCTATGGGTCTGAAGGCTGCCCGAGTCACCCGCCACCCTCTGCTGACCCCCGAGGAGGGCCTCACTCGCTCACCATGACGATCTGGGTGCCGGGGCGCAAGGCCATCTCGTCCGCCGCAGAGCCTGGTGTGACCCGGTGGATGAAGATGCCGGTGTGGTTCCCGCCGATGACGCTTATCTGCTCCAGCAGCCGGTCGCCCTGGAACGCCAGCACCGTGACCTGGCTCGGGATCCTGCGTGCCGGCCTCCGCCGCATGGGGGCGCCACTGCAGGCCGGGAGACGCCGAGCTCTTGTGCTGCCCAGAGCAGGACAGCGGCAAGGGCATCTCCCCGTCGCCTCCCGCTGGCCCCGGCGTTCTGGAATCCTCCTCCCCGCTCCATGGCGCCCTCTCCTTGGAAAGGCTGTCACCTCCCAACACAGTCACACTCTGCCCAGCCACCTCCAGCCCGGGTTCCCCAGTCAGTCGCCCCTCACCTTGCGGAGTCGTCGAGGCTTCCGGAGGAGGACGGCTGCAGGCTGCTTTCCCACGGGGGAAGGTCTGAGAGGAAGCAGAGAGCTACAGGCCCCATGCAGCCAGACCTCAGGTCACCCGCTGCTGACCGGGCTTCCGCCAACCCCTGCAGCCTCAGTCCCCACTTCCCCCAGCCTCAGACACCTCCTGCCCACTCTGCTCCCTTTGCTGAGGCTGAACTTTCTCCTCCTCCTCCCCTCCCTTGATGCCTCGGACTCTGACATCATCTTTCCTAATATCAGAATGACGGACCTCCAATGTCTCGTCGTGTGATATTTGAATGAGTTGCGGCATTTTAAAAGACAGAGAGATTTCACCTATAATTTGGATCTCTGGCTTCACTTGAAAATCAAACCTGGTGTGAGCCTGGGCTCGAGTTTCCAAGTGGCAGCCCCGCCAGTACCAGCCGGTGGCTGCCTCCTGCTACCAGAAGGCGGTGGCAGGTCTCTGAGCTGGTGTTCCTAGGACGAGAGGCCCCCCAGGGTCCCCCAAACTCTCGCATTTTCAGAACAGCTCCCCACGGACCTTGGCTGTGCTTCCACCATGAGCTGCACTTGGGCACCAGAGCCAGCAGAGACCTGACAGTCGCTGCTATGGGTGGCCTGTGCCCATCGCCGGCCAAAATCCATTCATGGTTACGTTCAAAGCCAAACGAAATTAATTACACACTCCAGCTGTATTTGAGGTCAATTCCATTAAAAGTGTGCGAAACTGGGGCACTCTGTAGAATCTTAACAGTAGGGAAACAGAGGAATAAGCCCCCCTGTTGATGGTCTCACATCCAGTTTGGACGTGCCTTGGTGGAGCTCTCAGTTTACCACTGTTCTAAGTAGAAGTGCGTCGGCGAAGGTCCCAGGACCCACAGAAAGCACAAAGGCAACGCCGTGCGGGACGGCGTGGGGTATTTGCGCCCCCTGGTGGTGGCAGGGTGAGTTCCAGACCGGGAGCTGAGCACCTACTGTGTGCAGGCCCCGGGCAGGGAGCCAGCTGTGCCGGGAAGGAAAAGGTAAGGAGGCTGTGGACGTGGGGGGCAGCGAGGGCCCGTGTGCGATCGCAAAGTGAGGGGAAGCCACAGGAGAGGGGGGCCTCAGGGCAAGCGGCCAGGAGGAGGGGCCCCAGCAGGCGGACGTCACCCTGCACAGTGTCGGCACAGCCGAGCACCTAAGCCTGCCACCCCTGATCCCACCGGGAAGCCTAAGCACCCACAGGCGGGGCTGGACGTGGATGCAGGTACCACCCCTCTTCTCTAAACAAAAGACACCATTGGACAGTGCAGCCGGGCTCTGGCTTGAGCTGCCTGGATCTCCCCAGGGGCCAAGGTCAAGGCCCAGGGCAGGCGTCAAGTTCGTTTCTATCCGCCCGTCCCCTGGAGAGAGGCCAGGGCCATCTCAGTGCTCCCTGCTGTGCCGCCCGGGGAGGTGGGTGCCATGGAGCCAGGGTAGGGGTCTCACCTGCCCTGTCCACGATCTCATAGCCCAGGTCTGCGTCGCCCCCCTTAGCTTCCGGGGGGGCTCCTGGGTCCACCTCCACGATCTCCGTGCAGCCGCTGCAGAGCACAAGAAGCCCACTCAAACTGCATCCCTGCTCCGCCCAAGGCCCAGCCCCAGCACCGGTCCAGCTCGGGGGCCTGGGGGCAGGAGCTGCCATGTCCAATGCCCAGATGGCCCGAGGTCTGGGTTAGTGTCCCCGGAGAGCTGCCAGGAAGGACCCTGACGCTGTGCCCGCCTTACCTTAGAGACCAGGGGTCTTACCGGAAGTCCTCGGCCACCCGCTTGTACAGGGACTGCTGGCTGGGGGGCACCGGGCTGCTGGAGCGGAAGCTGTCCCCCAGCTCGCGGCTGGACGTGGCACTCAGGTCGGACCATAGCTGGGACTGGAGGAGGTTGGGTGGAGGTCGGCGGGGCGTGGATGGGGACAACCTTGCGGCCCTCCCTGCCATCCCACTGCGCAAGAGAGCGAGCCACAGCCGGAGTGGGTGGGAGGAGCACAGTGTGGCCACGTCCACTGAGCACCTGCCGCGCGCCAGGCTGTCAGCTGCTCTCCACGTCCCCTGTGGCTTGGTTCTCACAGTAAACCGAGGCAGGTGTTGCTGCCCATTTCACACAGAAAGCAACCGAGGCCAGAGGGGCTGTGACTGTCTGGGAGGGAGGACTCTGGTCCTCTGGGGAGGGGAGGCTGCATTCAGAGCATTCAAACCAGCGTGATGCGCAGGACGTGGAGCGCAGCGCCGGGGCCACCAGCTGTGCGGCGCAGATCTGAATTAGGCCCCTTCCTTCTCTTAGCAAGTATTCCTTAAGCACCTACTACACGCCAGGCCCTTTGAGGATGGGGCGTACGCCTGAGCAAGGCGCCATCCTTGGGCTGGGGCACCAACAGGAAACACAGATCGCTGGGGTGCAGGAGTCACCGCCGGGGTGTAGGCGACAGGGGCAGGCAGGGAGGCCAGAGCGGGCTTCCCGGAGGAGCCAGGCGGAGGCAGGCATGGGGTGGGGCACGTCCCAGACAGAGAGAGCCAGAGTGCGGATCAGGCAGAGAGCAGGGAAGCAGGCTCGGGGTTTCCCGGGAGTGGTCAGGTTACAAAACCCCGGGGAGGGGTGTGGGCGGGGGCAGCAGGCCACGGCAGGGAGGTTCCGGCCCTGCGCCCACGAGGCACGTTAATGGGGAGCCGTGTGCACTGTACGGAGAGCTGTGGATGCCAGCGCCGAGCACCCGAGGTCCCTCCCACGACAGTGCCACGGGGAGACTGGGCTGGACTCATCCTGGGGACCACGGGGCACCGAAGGGCTTCAAACAGGGCAGAAGTGAGACCCAGTTCAGTCTGGGGTGTGGCTGGCTCTGGCCCACGGAGCCCTGGCACTGGCACTGAATGTGACACTGTCCCTGCTCGTGCGTGCTCAGTGTTCTGGGGGAAGGCGCCGGCTTCCCCGGCTTCCCTGAGAGGCCGGGAGCAGGTGCGCAGAGCCTGCTGCTCTGAGGGATGCGGGATGGCGACAGCCGCTGCGGGATAACCCAGGAAGGGAACGCCCAGGCCTGCCCTGAGACAGCAGGTCTGGCATCCCGGGAACGTCTACCCCCGGTTCAACAGTGTCTCCCGAGAATTCATGACCACCCGAAACCTGTGATTGTGGCTTATTTGGAAATAGGATCTTTGCAGACATCATGAAGCTGAGATAAAGTCAGCTGGGATTAAGGTGGGCGCTACATCCGTACGCCCGGTGTCCTTCTAAGAGGAGGACACGGGACAGAGACACCAGGGAGAACCTCGCGTGGAGGCGGAGGCAACCACGCAAGGGGTGCAGCCGCAAGCCCAGGAGCGCCAAGCATCACTGAAGCCACCGGAGCCGGAAGAGGCGAGGAAAGATCCCCGAGAGCCTTCTGAAGGAGGCTGGCACTGCCGGCACCTTGATTTTGGACTTCGGGCCTCCAGAACTGTGAGAGCATCGTGTCTGCCATTTAAAACTCTCAGAGTTGCATCAACCTCTTGCCCACGGGGATAAGGTGGAAAGAGACTCGCTTTGGTCTCGATAGGATGCACCTGGTCTGACCCGCGTGCAGGGCCGGGGCGGGAGAAGCGGCCCTACCTCCGTGGAGCTGAGGAGGCTGCCGTCGCCGTCGACGTCGCCGTCGTCCCGCGGGCAGATGGCGCGCATGCGCACCAGCCGCTGCTTCCCCCTCGGACAGGGCTCCCTGGCCCCGGCTTCCTGCTGGGGCTGCCAAAGACAGACGGGCCAGACAGGCTGTTAGCTCAGGAAAGGTTCCCCTGGATGCCCGCGGGCTTTCTGCCTCCTCACCTCCACCGGGCCCACCCTCCAGGTAAAACGGTGAAGACCCTGCCCTCCCAGCCTGGGACCCCACTCCGGGAGCTGTCGGCCAAGCAGACGGGAGAACCCAGCTTGACACCTGGAGCTCTTTCAGAGAATGCGCTGTTACTCACCGGTTCTAAAAATCACGTATAGTACACACACACACACACGCACACTACGCGTAGAAAATCGCAGGGGAAAACGGACCAATTAGAGAAGAAAACAAAATTCACCACCACCCCACACTCAGAATGAGCACAGTTTGCATTTTGGGGCCTGTCCCTGCCCCCGCCAGAGATTTTTCTACATGTCCACATGCGTGTTTTCACATAGTTACTCTGGGCAGCTGCTCGTGGAGGAAGGGCTGGGTGGACCCTGCATGGGGTGGGGAGGGTCCCACTGGGCCTCCCGCCCAGCTGGAGCTGTGCCCGCCCGTAATTAGAGGTTTCCTGATACTTTGGCTTTGGGAACACAACTCCTCTGTTCCATGTGTGTCCATCATTCAGCTCGAGGACATCTGACTTTCAAACATTTCAGGAATGAATCATCTATGGAGACAGTTTCACACTGATGGCCACACTTGACCAGTTCCAGAACCTTCTGCTAAGCCCCCTCTTCTAGGTCACTGGTGATACTGTCATTAAGGACACAGAAGTAGACTCAACTTGCCTAGTTGTGTGTCTTCAAGGTTTCCCGGCACCGTCCGCTCATGGGAGCCAGTGTGCCGGCCGCCCAGTCAGGCCCAGTTAAGTCCAGGTGTCTCTGCAGGGAGCACGTGGCCCGGCCTGGGCACCGGCTCGCTCCCGCCGCCTGGCCTCCCCGCCTCCCCTCCGGCTTAGCAGGAGGCACTCACCTCACCCGGAGGCTGCGCCTGCAGCTGGCACAGCTGTGTGCGCAGCTCGCAGACCTGGTCCGTCAGCTCGAACACCTTCCTGCGGAGGGAGTCCTTCTCGCCCAGGCTCTGGGAAATCTCCCTCTGGGCGCTGTCCCTGGCAGAGTAGGCCTGTGGGCCGAGACAGGGCTAAGGACGCCACCGAGGCAGCAGGGGAGTCTCAGCTGGAGAAAGGGAGGCCCTGTTTCCTGTCTGAGTTCATCCGACACCACTGAGCAGACATGTACAAACTCACGGCTCATTTCAATTCATGTCCATGTGTTCAGTTTTAGTAAAAACCAATATTTGGGATGCAAACTTTCTCAGCGTCTTGTGCCAGGAGTGAGACAGGGAGGGTGGTAGAGCATGTGTCAGTGGATGGCAGGGGTAAGGGAGCTAAGAAGCCTCGTGTGGACCCAGGAATGAGGCCCTGAAATCTGGGCCCAGCTGTCATCCAGCTCACAGTCCAGACCAGAGACTGTGGTGAGCTGTGAGACAGTCCCCTGAACCAGCCCAGCCCTCAGCCACACCCAGATAGGCCAGTGTGGGATGGCAGGGCAGTGGGCCGGGGGCTTCCCAGCCGTGACTCAGCGAGGGCCGGCATCCCCTCTCCCCGAACCCCTCGGCCGGCCTCTCCGGTTACCTGGTCTCGCTCCTTCTGCAGCTCGGACACTTGGGCCTGCAGAGCTTTCATCTTGTCCTTGTAGAGCTGGCAGTCCACCTTGGTCTTCTGGAACTGCAGCATGGTCTGCTCCTTCTCCTCCCAGTACTGGACAGAGGGGAGACACGGCCTGAGAAGGCGGCAGCTTGGAGGGTCTGGGCTGCGGGGTGTGGGGAGCGAGGGGCAGAGGGAGGAGGTTCCAGGGTGAAGTAGGGTGAAATCAGGCTCATCTCTTGGGTGCGCGGTTTCGAGGCACATCCAGAGAATCGCTATGCTGATTCTACTCAAATCCAGTCATCAAAATGTGCAGAGTGCTGCGTGCACAGTTGTGTTTGGTCTGTTCTACATCCCCAAATACAGAAATACCTCCCCTGTTCTCTGCCATCTCCTTTCTCGCCTTTCTCCCCTTTCTCTCCCAGACTGAATCCCTGGCTCTCCCCGTGGTCACCTGTCACCCGACCACGGTCTCTCGTCTGCACAGTGAGCTGCTGCTCAGGGTAGCTCTGACCGAGGGACGGCCTCGCGGATCAACAATTTAGTCAAGCAAAATTGTTTAAGCTCAGTGTGGATTAAAGCATCCGCCTTCCCCACGCGTGCAGCCCCTGCCACTGAGGCAACCCCAGAGGGTCTCGAGGAAGAAGGGGCGACCGGGCCACCTGCTTGCGCTGCCTCTCCGCAGCCACGGCGCGCTCCCGCAGCGAGTGGATGCGGTCCACCAGCTCCTGCCTGCTCTCCAGCGCCTCGTCCAGGTGCTGCTCCAGGATGTCCTTCTCCGCCTGCAGGGAAGAGAGGTCCACTCCAGCGCTGGCCTGCCCAGAGCCCCCCGGCGAAGCAGAGTTCTCAGCACTGCTCGTCAGGCGGGAAGAGCGGCACGGAAAAGCCAGCAGTCACGGATGGGAAAAGAGGCACTCGGTTCTCAGTGTATCGATACGTGGTTAAGGACACAGATAGTCGGGGAGCTGAAAACCTCGTAGGGTAACAGCTCCTCCTTTCAGCCACTTCCGCCTTGTCCTCCGACAGATCTGCCGGCAGCGTCTCCAAGGGAGGGAGAAACCGCCAGTCACCCCTCCCACGCTCGCTTCCCCGGACCCCAGCGGGCTGCGTGCCGGGCGGTGCCCTGCGCCGTGAGTGCTTGCTGGTGGAATATCCCAGTAAGTGGGTGTCTGTGCATTGACAGGTGCTGACCAGGAGAAGCACAGGGTTTGCGCCGTTCCAGGGCTGTGGTGTCACGCGTGCCTCTGCTCCCGGAGTGCCTCCAACGCCCGCGAGGGCAGCGGGGAAGGACTTTCATAGGCAGAAAGGTTTCTTTTCTCCAATCCTTAAAGCTAACCCCATATGACTTAATCCTTAGTGACTAGCCCAGCCACCCCAAACAAGATGCCAGCAGGAAGCCAGCCCAGCGGGACACCCTAGTGCATACCCAGCAGCTACTCATTCTGCCAAGGTCCGAGGGGTGGGGACGGGGGGAGGAGGTAGCAAGAAAGTGGTAGAAATGCGTCACTACATCACCTCCCCCCGTGCTTAGCCTCCATGAGACCTCGGGTCCCAAATCCCCCAACCTGGGGACCACGGGGTGACGCTGGGGACAGTCCTGCCAAGCACCGGGGAAGGAACCTACCAGGCTGAAGGTGAGCGAGCGGAGCTTCTCATTCTCCTCCTTCAGACGGGTCAGTTCCTCGTCCCCAGGCGCCAGGTCGCTGGCCATCTTCAGGGACCTCTCTTGGAACTGCAGCTCACAGGACGAAACCATGTTCTCACGCTGCAGCTCCTGCTTCACCAGGTACAGCTGCCGGGGAGAAGGACAAGAGGACACACAATGCCACCAGCGTCTGCTGCAGACCAGGAGCCGGGGGATTTCTCAACCTTCCTCTCAACAACGGCGCTCTCCAGACTCAAAGGGTTTCCTGCCCCGAGATTTCAAAGTCCGTTAGAGGGTTTCGCCCAGTGAATAGCCCCAGTCCCTCACAGGAGGAGAAAGGCATTTGGCTCTTTTTGGGAAGAGGACAGCAGTTAGGCTGCCCAGCCGGGGTCCCTGGCAACTAGCTCCTCCAGCTCTGGTTACACCGATAGTCACCGCGGCCGGGGAGGAACGGCCAGCTGCTCTGCTCCTCCATGCTCTGCTAACTCCATCTGATAAAGGGAATTTGGGTTCACAAAAATCAGTAAGAAATAAGAACGGAAAGCCAAGTCAGGTGGGGGTGGAGATGCTGGGAACGTGGGACCCGGACGCTCAGACAGGAAAGCCCCGCGTGGACTTGAAGTCTACATGCAGCATCCACGCCGGGGGCTCCGTCTGCGGCCCTGGCCCTCTGGAAACTGCCCGGCCAGTCCTGCTGGCCTCCTTAGGCCCCAGGGCACCCATGGGCCCGGCCTCTCCCTGCCCTGGGCGTGGTCGCCCCGGGGAGAGGAGACGTCCCCCACAGGCCAGCCCAGGAAGTCTGGGCGTCAGGTGGACTGTGGCGCTCACCCCTGGGCTGTGGCCTGGCAGAGAAGGAAGAGGCTTCCCTCCCACACCCAGTGAGCACTTTCTCAATAAGCAAGGACCGAGTTCCTGCTGTAGGCCAGCTGGGTTGGGTGTGTCATATTCTGCATGTTCGAAAAGAAAACTAAGGAAGGAGGGGACGGGTATTTGCATACACAAAGAGTGCAATGCGCACCACCTGAAGGATGGACATATTTGAAACTCGGACTTGGGGGGGAGGGGAGGGTAAGGGCAACATACGTAACCTAAACATCTGTACCCCCATAATATGCTGAAATAAAAAAAAAAAAGAAAATTAAATCGTCTAGAACTGGAAGAGAAGGGGAAACCTAAGACTGAAGGTGAACTGACGCAAACGAGCCTGATCGTGTCTCAAACAAATCCCATAACCACAGCGCAGACGTGGGGGGAGAGGCAGAGAGGAGGGGCCGCAGTAGCTCACGAACACGGCGTTTGCCACGCGCTGGCCGGCGGAGGGAGGTGGATCACAAATCCCGCACGCGTGTCTGTGGGCTCGTTCACCGCGTGGTGCAGGCAATGGGATTCGAAGCTGTTTTAGATGCACCGCGGGGTTGAGGCGGTGAGTGAGTGTACGGTGACGCTGGGAGCGGGAGTCCCACCGGGAGGAAGCTCACCGCATGGGACGTGGGCAGGCAAGAAAGAGCCTCGGGGCCCGGGTGGAATTGGAGGTAGGGTATAGACTTGTGGTTCCCAAAATATGCATGTGTGCGTATGTGTGCACATGCATATGTGTGTATACATGTGTGTGCATGTGCTTGTACACGCTATGTGCATACATATATTTATACATATGTGTGTGCGCATGTTCCTAGCTTTGTCCCCTAAAAGGGCCGAGAAGCAAAGACGCCCAGGAGCGACAGGCACGCCAAGTGCCCAGACCTTGCTCTCTGGAAGAAACCGGGGCCCTAGAGAAGCAGCTGACCCTGGAGCCGGAACACGTCGTGACGCAGAGAGGAAGTCGGCGCTCCACAGTGAGGGGGCACGTCGCAGGACACGGAGCAGTCGAAGGGCTCCCGCTGGCCGCACACGGGACAGTTTGGGCACCAGAATCACTGAGGACAGTAATAGGTCACGGAGCCCTGGAGAACAGGAACCCACAGGCCTGTGCCAGCAGCAGACGCCTCAGTGCACGGGGGAGGCCGCTTCTCCCGGCAGACGGCCCAGGCGCGGGCAACGTCGGGTGCTGCGGGGCAGTCATGTTTGCAGCCCACAGGGTCAAGGCCGGTGCCAGCGACAGTGACCACAGCTGTGTCCAGGAAACGTCGCTGAGGATTGGGGTGCCTGTGGGTCTCAAAGCACCTCCCCCAGCCTGCTTCTCAGCTGCGGGGGGCGGGGAAGAAACAGCAATCTGCAGCCCCTTGACCAGTGGAGGACAGTGATGTCCCCCGAGACGGGCAGCAGGACCTCGCGGGCCCAGAGGGGATGCCCTGGCGGGGCCAGCTCCCCGAGCAGGGTCCCGGCCAAAGAGGCACAACCTGCGTCTACTCGTGGGGAAACACGAGATGTACCCGCATGAGGGGGTTACATCATGACGCAACGGAGAAAGGCTGTGGGGATGCTGCAGATCGGAGGAGGCTAAAGAGACAGGACCACCGAATGCAACACCGACCCCCGGCCAGACCCTGGGCTGGGGAAACGCCACGAAGGATGTTACGGGGTCACCTGACAAGACCTGAACTCAAACGGCAGATCAGACAGAAGTACCGTGCCCTGGTCAGTCCACTACACTGGTAACTGTGCCGTGGCCACACAGGAGGACACCGATTCTTAGGAAATGTGCAATGAAATGTTCAGGGGTAAAGGCCATGATGTGTGTGACTCAGCTGGGTCAGGAAAAGATGTTTGTGTGTGTGTGTGCGGTGTGAACAGTGTGTGGTGTGTGTGTGTACAGTGTGTGGTGTGTACAGTGTGTGGTGTGTGTGTG